TGAACTATATTAATTTACATATTTGATGATCGTAATTAAGTTGGTATTATTCGTTATATTAACAAATTGAAGACAAAAGTATTTTTTGGAGCATAACGTGAATATGAATATGAAATTTCTGATTTTTTGGAGCATAAAATTGAATTAGTTAAATTGTGTATTAATCTAACAAATTTCAATTTTCTGTATCATTAATTTATAGATACTTTTTAATTCGATTCGCATTTAGATAATTGTGAAAATAATCAAGAGATCTGTTGTTTTTTTTTATTGTTAGCGTTGTGGTAATTGCGTTTAAACAGTCGCTTCATCTCCTTCATCAATCGTTGTTCGTTCGAGTCGTGCGTGCAAATGTGGAACACACTTTTGTGGAATTGATTTCTATGATGATTTGTTGCCTCGACCCATAAACGAATCTGTAGATGGAAGAACTCGAGTTCGCGTTAATTAGTGAACGAAGAAGAAGAAAAAAAGAAATATATATATATAGATATATTGCTGTATCAAAAAAAAATGAAGAACGAGAAACGAAGCGCAACGAAAAAAAAGAAAAAAATTAACGTACTAAGAGTCGTTAACAAATTGGAGTCTCCGGTCATCTCAACAAAAGTTGATTTAACTGTAATCTCGACGCTCGTAAATTTGAAGAACGGCAATCGAAAAGAAACCAAATAATGAGTACACGTTTTATATAATCAATTAGCACTTTGTAGTGTATACAAACTATATAGATTTTTTTTTATAAATTTCTTTTTTTTAATGTGAAATCGTTTTTGTTTGGAAGATGATTACGTTTTCGAAAATGCATTCAAACTCGATCAATTAATTTCTATTAATCTATGGATTTTCTTTCTCACGACATTTAATGTCGATGCTCAAAATTCCTGCCGGTATTATTATTATTGATCGCTCGGATTTCTCGTCAAGGTGTGTCTCTCTCTCTCTCGTTCTTTAATAAACGGCATATAATTGCCATTTAATTGCGAATCTTTCACAAGAAATGCTTCAATGCCCTTGCTTTTAATGCCAATTTTAAATAAAAATTTTCAAATATTAATTGGAGATTACATTTTTTTTTAAAGCAAATTTTGATAGCTTATTACATGAAAACGGTATTAGATTACATTTGGCTTTAATTAGACTGTTTATACTCAAATGTAGTATGAATGGTTATGGAGTAATTTAATAAAAAGTGGAGATACTATTTCAATTTTTTTTAATAGGAATTCACATAATTTGACTTCTTATTACACGAAAACGGTATTAGATACAAATCTGAATGTATACTTAAGTTAAATTTTATACTTTTAGCTTTAATTCGAGTGGTCATACTTAAATGTAGTATGAATCCTTGGAGAATAATCAATTGAAAAGTGAGGACAATCCATTTTTCAACTTTGAGACGATAATAATTACATTTTTTTTAGTCTAATTCACTTATTACAAGAGAATGGTATTAGATATAAATCAGATAGTATACTTAAGTTAAAGGTTATACTTTTAGCTTTAATTCTAGTGTCCATACTTAAATGTAGTGTGAATGGTTATGAAATAATTAAATGAATCGTAGAGACACTTTTTTTTCATATTTGACAGCTTATTACACAATAACGACATTAACTACAAATTTGGAGGAAAAATTGCCTCAAAGTATGTACATCTGTTATTAATTAGTGTACTCATTAGTATATTTAACATTAATGATAATTGAGTAAATAAATTAAATTTGAAAAATATTGAAGTTTTTGTCAACTTTTACAGTTTATTATATAAAAACCACATTAGCTGCAAATTTAGAAATACATAAAACATAAAGCCAATACATTTGACTTTGATTAGAGTTTTCATTCTTATATTTAGCATTCATGATCAAACGAACAAATAAAATATAAATTCACTGATTTTTTTTTTGGAAATTTAAAAAGTTTTTCAACTTTGACATTTTATAAAATGAATACGGCAATAGCT